TGTCGTAGGTGATGTAGCCACAGAGGCTCCCGACGAACAGCGAGAGCCCCAGCACCTCGGGCAGCAGGAGCCGCATGACGCCGTACAAGAAGCCTAACACCAGCGAGGCCGGCACGGGAGGGAAGACCAGGCGGGAGCTGTCGAAGGGAGACTGGAAGCAGAGAAGGAGAGTGGGACAGGCAGATCCTAGCTCACCCCACATCCCCCAGCACACCCCTGCCAAGCACTGGGGATGCTGCGCCCGGCGGTGACAGCAGCCCCTCGCCCGCGCCGAGGTGGCCAGGCGGCCGGTGGCTTTGGCTGGCAGGTCGCCAAGCTCCACGGGACTTTCCTCCAGCGAAGCTAGAGGGAGCCCATGGCTTTTATGGTCTTCCCCTTGCCCAACCGGATCTCGTAGGTTTAACCCCAGCTCCTCCGAACCCGTCTTGCAGCCCTCGCCGGTATGAGGTAAGGGCCCCGCGTGGGGCGAAGATGCCACGAGTCACGTCGAACACGCACCTACCGGCTCCGCCCGAGCAAAGGCCACCGCTCCCACAGCCCGGCCGGCGCCGGCGGAGGCGTAAGCTGCCACTCACCTTGTGATGCTGCCCATGCAGCAAGAAATGCAGCGTGATGAGATAGTAGTTACTAGCGGGTGGCTTCATGTGGAAGACAAAGCGATGGATGAGGTACTCTAGCAGGGACCACAGGAACATCCCCAGGAGGAAGATGAAGGGGAAGTAGTATTTGTGGACGGGGATGGAGTACTCTACACAACGAGACGTGCAGGGGTCAGCAGCGCAGGCGACGTGCGGGTGCTCTTACCCATTGCCATCCTCCCAGCAGCATCCGGGTGAAGCTCGCCCTCCCTCTCACCTCTCGTCCGCCTCCTGCCCCGAGCTTCCCCTGGGATCTACCTTCCCAAGCACCGCTCCAAACCACGGTTTCCCGTGACTCCCATTAATTTACGCTCTTTATGGAAACAGTCGGCTTCTCGCTGCCGCATGGAGCTGGTGAGGGGGGGTCCCTGCATCCCAGATGCCAAAATGGGGCTTGGAATTACACTCCTGGACAAAGCTGCTTCGCCCACCTGACCGAGGCGGGGGGACCTTATCTGCGCAGGCAGCGCTCATGACAGCTCAACAGTGTTGCTGGCGTTGGGTTTTGTCTTTTATTTCGGGGGAAAAAGAATGGGTTTGTTGGGCACATTCCCCCGCAGAGCATTTTTTCAGCCACCTCCTCCTTTCAGAGGGCCAGCTGCCAGCCCCGCGTCCTCCCTAGCAGAATTTGGATCCCCCTCCCAAACCTGTTCATTTTTTGGGGGAGGAGAAAGAAAAAAGAACCCCTTGGCAGCAAGGTGCCGAATGCCACAAGGAGCAGGAGGGGTGCCGGTGCAGCGGGCGCTTCACCCCGCGGCCGGGCACAGCTGGCACCGGGTGGCACCTTGCAAAAAAACATAGGGAGCCCAGCAAAAAAAAAAAACAAAACCACACAAAACCCAACAAAAAACACAACAAAGAAGACAGCCTGCCCCGGCCACGCTTGTTATTCCCAGGGGAGCAGACAGTGGGAGATTCAAGGGCAGGCGCTTGGGGCGAACAAGCCCTGCACTGTGCGACGCCGGCGGGGGTGAGAGCCGGGTTTGTTCGCC